TTGACAGCAAAAAAAAAATAATAATAAAAAATGCCCAAGATCGAAAATCATATTTCGTGGGGTGGGGGTGGGAGGGTGGGGGGGGGGGGTGGGGGGTAGGGGCTAACTTTTTTCAAGGCCAACTTCCTTTCACTTACAATATTTTGCATTCAGTACTAAATTTCCTTGATTCATTATACTATGGTAAGAAGGGGGGGGGGACCTTTCAATAGACATTTTCAGTAGTAAAGGTGATGTTGGGAAAAAGAGTGGGGGGCAGCCCCCCCCCCCTCTGTTGCTACGTGCCTGGTACCATAAATTCCTTGACTGGCAAAAAAATCAGGTGTCTTTATTTAGGGGGCACGAGAATGTTTTTTGCAGTATATTGGCAAATTACCCCCACCCCACCCTCTGTTCCTATTGCCATGCGTGATATTCCTAAAGTCAGGATCTAAATAATAAAAAATATATATTATACTATAGATATCAAAATCATTCGTTTCAAGGTGCAGTTAGTGATTAATTATTAGTACGCTATTGGTACGGTACTGATTATTTTAACTTAGATCTATTTAATTTCGATTGACACGTCGGGCCTGTGTAGGCTTTCGGTCTATGGGTTGAACACGAGTTATCTTCCTTTAATTACATTGTCACCATGGCGACGAGGAGGGTTTGTCGGAACCGGGATCGAGTTGGAGACACAAATTCACACAAAGGACACATTATATTTGAAAAAAATTATAATGATTGATCCACTGAATTTAGATCAGCTTTGTCAAGCGAAATTCTGGGGTCAGAACCGAGGTTACAACTAGAGGTACTGTGAGCGATGAGCTCACTAAATGATACCCCCCGCCTCCCATATGGTTATAACTGGTGAAATAGTCCATCTTTTCCTGTGGCCGGGAAACCCAAAATATCTGTCGGATCAAAAAGTAAAATAGGAGGTGCACAATGGCAATATGTAATAAAGATTCTGTGAAAGTTTCATCAAATTTCATTCAGTGGTATGAGAGGAGTTGCGGATAAGAGATGGGTACCCCAAAGCGTAACAGACGGACGGACAGACGGACGGACGGACGGACGGACGGAAATACCGATTACTATATACCCCCACTTTTCAAGCGGGGGGTATAAAAAAGTCGACATTACGGCATACTGTAGACCAAATATTTTCTTTAGCATGTGATTTTCGTTTTCTATATATTCTTTTCTCATTTTAACACAAAATCAAATACATTGTATCTTAAATTAGATAGTTAAATTTTTATACCTTTTTCTAATAAAAAGCAAATTAAATCATTATCTTTGATTTTAAAATGAGATATTCCCGAAAATCAGCTTTGGTGATCCGTTTTCAGCTGTTTCGCGTCGAAGGAAAAGTTAAGTTTTCGATGTGGCCACATCCGACAAACAAAATAAAAATATGCCTCGTGTATCAATTTTTATATCCTCTTTTTAATTACATAAATTTTATTTTGTTTGTAGGGTGTGGCCAGGGTCAAATTTTGAATTAAAGATTAAAAAAACGTTAAATTTTGCTAAAAATTAGCAAAGTGCACGTGTTTAGACGTTTACTGTACAAATATGACGTCATCAGTAGTATAAGGGGTCTGGTTGGGCGGGTCAACTGAGTACACTTTTGGGGCTGGGGGGATAGGCGGGTCAAGTGAGTGCAGGTTTGGGGCTGGGGGGATAGGCGGTTCAACGGAGTGCAGGTTTGGAGCTGGGGGATAGGCGGTTCAACGGTGTGCAGGTTTGGGGCTGGGGGATGGGCGGGTCAATTCAGTACATATAGCCCCCTAAATACGGGGTGTGTTTACACTGTGTTTACATTTTACTATATACGCTGCTACTACGATTGACAACGCTGCTACTACGATTTTGGCAGCGAGTCAAAAGAATTTGATTATGACGTCACTCATTCACAGTGATTTTCCGAAAACGGAAAAAAAAACAATAACACACAATAGAAACAAGAACACAGATTTTATTCAAGTAAAAAAATACAACAATTACTTTTTCTTCTTCTGTGCCTTATCGGTCATCAGGGATAGTTTCCTCTTGTGAGTAGTGCTGGGTCCTGGAATCTCTCTGTTGTGTTCCTTTTTCTCTTTTTTGTCTCCTTCTTTCACTGGAGGTTTGGTCTGGTGGGTCCCTGAGATCTTGGGCTCTTGAGGCTTTTTCTCCAGTTTTTGTACTTCTTTGACGAATTGTTGATCCTCCTCATCCTCTGTACACTGATTAGCCCAATGGCCAAATTTCCCGCACTTGTAGCACAAATCTTTCTTGGGGCAATCTAGGGCCCAATGCCAAACTCTTTGCAGATGTAGCATGGATCCGTCTGTCTAGTTTTCTTTTTTTCTCCCGATTCCCCTTGTCCTTCTTTTTTCTGGTAAGTGCTTCCTCCTCCTCCTCCTCTCATTTTGTCTTGCATGTTAGTAACTTTCACTTCTAATTTGGATAATTTGGCACGAATCAAACAAAATTCACTGGCGTTGTAAGTTTTCAGATCAGTCAGCTTGTTTTCATGATCACCCACCTTCTCAGCAATATATTTCAGCTTGTTGTCATGATGTCGCACTTTCTCACCAATATAATTCAGCTTGTTGTTAAGATCACTCACCTTGTTGTTCATATCATTCATCTTGTTTTCAAGAGCAGACAGCATGTTAACAATCCCATCCAGAGTTGTATTTAATATGCCCATATCTTCTTTATTCGCATATTCTGGAAGATTATACATGCCCAAATCTAATCCCACTGCATCCTGTGACTCTGGCATGGGGGCTCCTACATACCCTTCAGGTGTCACATAGCTGGGGTTGTCTGGAGTATTCATCATTGCTTCTACCATAATATTTTTTTTCACGTCTGTCAAGTTCGAAATGTCAAGCAAGACTGATCTTCAAATCCCAGCTCCGCTTTATATACCTGCTGTGGTTCGTGTGCATCAATACGATAGACCTACGTTTTTTTATGCTGACTACACAGGTAAATACTTGGCAGCGATTCAAGTCAGGGCCGTGTGCACCTTTGACCTACCTTTTTATACCTGTTGCATCACCTGTAAGGGGGGCCGTGTGCAAAAAATATACGATAGACCTACGTTTTATACTGGGGGTATAAATGAGAAGAAAAGTCTGATCCTTTCTTCACAATCGACTATCATGTCAACCCTGATACACACTCACTCTCTGATTTTAGATGGGTATGATTGTTTAGTACGATGGGCACAAAACCACCAAGAATCTCTACCCCCGGAGGCAGAACAAGTATTTCAGGAAGCCACCACTATCATGGAAACCCCTCAGGATTTGTGGTTACAATGCCTAGCCTTATCACATCATGTGACGACCATGGGGAGACTAGCTACCATACATTTTCTATGTCGACATATGAAAACAATTCTGCCCCAGAAATGGTACGGACTGAACCTGACCCGTTATTTCGGAAAGCCTTACAGTTTCCTGACCCATCCCCAAGCGGGCAAAGTGATTTTACTGTGGCAGGACATAGATGCGATGGAGAAAGTATGTATTCAATACGGAATGAAATACCTGGAAATTTCACACAGGCTAGGAAATCCGTGACTTTTAATACCAGCCTCAATCAAATCTACGAATTATCCCCCGAAGAACGGAGAAGTCCCTGGATGCAATTAGTAGCGGATCGAATACGATTTCGGAGGAGAATTCGACAGTTAGAAGCATTGTTAGTTTTTAAGAAATAAAATAAAAAAATCATGTAATACATCATCAGTGTTATGTTATTGTATGACGTCATGAATACACTCGGGTTCGGCCTTTCCCCCCTTCAATTTTGCTTTGTCACTGTGATGGGGCTTTTTTTTGATCACATGATCAAAAGCGATTTTTTTGTTTTAGCCAATCACATTTGATCACATGATTGGATTGTTGATGTTTTGCCGCGATTGCACGATCGTCTGCTATTGTTTATAAATACAGACCCTCCGTGGTTTCAGTGTCATTCTGTTCGTAGCTGATTACAGTTTACTTCCAGAGAGAAGAAGAAGAAGAAGAAGAAGAAGAAGAAGAAGAAGAAGAAGAAGAAGAAGAAGAAAGAAGAAGAAGAAGAAGAAAGAAGAACATGGCTGCTAATCATCGTATTTTCCACGAGGATTTATATTTGATCCCCGGCATAGTGGTCGAATCTTATATTGTGGTGAGGCGGATCGATAACGGACGTGAGATTCTTCGCCTTAACATGTCAAGAATCCAAGTGAACGACCAGCATCGGAGGGCCCACCCTCGCCGGAGACGTGCATCCAGGTCCCCGACCCCACCACCCAGACCTGATGGACCCCAGGCCCAGGCCAGGAACCAGGGGCGGGTTCCCCGCTGGGGGTTTTCCGTCCCCACCGACCATATCCTCTGTACCATCTGCCTCGGGGACAACGAGCAAAACAACTTTGTATGCAGTCGGTGCTTGCAGCGCCCTGCCTGCTTGTTATGTGCGGCCAAATTAATTGATCACAACCAGCCGTGCCCCCTGTGCCGCAACAGTGATGCCATAATACAGCTCGTGGGCAGAAGACCCGAGTTTAGACGTCCGGACGACAGTGACAGTTCAGACGAGGGAGAGATGGTCCAACAGTTATTGGCCCAGTAAAGGGAACCCACCTGAGCCCCACCAGAATCCAAAACCAGAAAAAAAAAAAAAAAAAATTTAAAAAAACAAAAAAAAAAAAAAAAAAAAAAATACAAAAAAAGCCCTTTTAAGGGCTGCCCAATTGTTTCGAAAAGATGCCTACTTAAACAGTCAAAAACGAAACGTTTGTGTGTGTCTTAGAAAAAAAAAAGATTTTTTTTTTTCAAAATACAGTCAAAGAAACGATTGTATCTTAGAAAAAAAAAGATGATCTTTTTAAAAATACAGTCAAAGAAAAGAAACATTGTGTGTGTTTCTCTCAAGTTATAACACCAGGTCACTTTTACATTTTTATAACTTAAAAAAAAAAAAATTTTTATGTGTTCAAGTACGACTTAATTTTCTATGTAAATTAGGCGGCCATGGCGAATCTCGGCAAGATTTTACCCCAGTGAAAAAGGCTTGTAATCCACCTTGTAGGTCGTTTAAAGTTGTTTCACATTGTTTATGATTGTGATTATGTTATCACTCACCTATATGTTTAATGTCAGCTATGCTTAATAACCCATTTCTGTGTAATTTGAGATAATGTTTTGTCATGTGCTTAAAGTATGGCCTGCTATTCATGTCATCATTTAAAGTCTATCCTAAATAAATCTGTCTTAAAAAATACATTTTACAAATGACATTTAATTGATTAGAGTATAGGAATCCATATATATAAGAGATATTATTTTGCATTACATTTATAAGAGGCATTGTCTCATGTAATTTAAATCATAATAACAAAATGGGTTTTATTTTCTATACAGTCCTCAACCTGGAAGATATGTTTTGTTCCTAACCATCTATAATCCATTCTCTATGAAGTGAAGCCTGGCTGCTGGTCTTCCTTTGGAAATACACAGTGAAATAACTAACATAAAAACAAAAACAAAACTTGAACCTAAAAAGTTTCAATGAGATATCATTTTAATTTATTTAATTATTATTAAGATAATTATTAGTTTTATTTTAAATGTTTATATTTTTAAAATGGATTAAAAATAAAATCTGATAATGGAAATCAATACCATAAAGATAGCAAGTTTTTTATCTTTAAGTGCTGATGAATTTCTGAATTTTCCATTAAATATTGACATTATATCACAGGGGAAAGAAAACTACTTGAGTGTTTCTAATACCCCCCAGAGATCTGCTTGTGAGTGCATGGGGATTGCGGTGGACCTTCTCTCCTGTTTAAACAGACTTTAGAGTATGACAGATAAAAGGTACTTTTTTTTCTTTATTTTACATCACATGAAAACACACAATTAATGATGATGATGAAGAATGTACACATGTTTTTCATAAGTGTGTACAAATTGTTCAATATAATGTCTATAATGAATCCAATTTCCTCCTGCTAGTCCACAGGTAATCTTGTAAGGAAAAGCATAAGTCTGGTAAGGTAAACTTTCCCCCATTTCTTGTAAACAGGCTTGAAACCATTGCTCTCTGTTTTGTGGGGTATCCTGATAAGTGGAAATTCTTTTAGGTCGGTGACTTGCTTTTCCATAATCCCATTGAGCTAGTAAACAAATGACCACAGGGGTTTGTGAGGGAAACACCTTAATAGTGCCTGGAATTCCTCTATCTTCTTCTACGGCTAAATTTCTAGTCCCTAGAGGTCTGCGAGTGGCATAGAGATTAGCTTGTGGGAATTTCTCTGCAATACTTTGACTCAATCCATGAGCTTTTACAGTTAAACAATTTCATTGATGAACAATAGCTTCTACCTCACAGTTGAGTAAATCACCTTGTATCTCCTGGAGACTCATGATGTAAAATGAATCTATTTTTTAAAACACCCTTGTTTTTATAGAACAACAACAACAACACAATAAAACAAGATTTTTTTTTTATTATTCAGGTAAATCTACAATCTCTTGGAACTAATTCTTTGTTTCTCACATCAGGTTTTAAAACTCCATATTCTTCATAGTCACCTTGTCTATAAAAGGTTCTTTCCAATTCTGGAGTGCTGTAAGACATCTCAAAACAGGTTAATTTATGAATCTTTCTGTACAGGTATCTCCCTTGAACCCTGTTTTTCATTTGAATGAATCCTCTCACATGATGAAGTTTTCCAGTTTCTGGATGCATTTCTTTTTGTAAGATCAAGTATTGATAATCACTTCCAATGATTTGATCTACATCTTCCTGTCGGCACCCAGTTAAATTAAATATCCAATTATTGGCTATTCTACCTCTATCTTGTTTTAAGTAAGCAATATATCCATTGCCTGTATTTTCTTTCTGTTTATTTTGATAATGAGCCTTAATATCCTCCAAGAGTTTGTTTGGTCTTATGTTTTCTTTTCCTCCTCCTCCTGAGGTTTATATTCTTCAGGATGTTCTTCCATCAAGGGAGGTGGTATAAATACTGCAGGATGTTCTACCATCAAGGGAGGTGGTATGATATCTTTTCCTCCCTCCTGTATAAGTAACCATTCAGTTTCCTTTAATCTAGTGTTCTGACTCATTTCTTTGCTGGAGGTGTTACCCATAATGAAGCCAGTCCACAACTGAGGTGTGTTTTGTACCATGTTTACTATTTTATACTTTTTTTTATTGTATCTATTTTCCCCCCCAATCTTTAAAAAACCCTTACCATTTTGTTTTGTGTTTTGAAAAAAAATCTATGGTTAAAGGGAGATAACCTATTTTTAAAAATGACAAAAACCCACAATTTTTTTTTCTTTTCTTTTTATTGAGATCTAACAATAAATAACAGTTCAATCTTTTTTATTCACATCTTGACCAGCTCACATTCTTTAAGAACCTTTTCTTCCTAGCTTCTCTGGCTGCAATAGCTTCAGGTTTCTTCCAAGCTCCTATTTCCCATTCTATCCAATCTCTGGGCTCTAATTCCTTATTTCTCTCCTCCGGTTTCAGAACACCATATTCTTCATAGTCACCTCCTTGCTTGTAAAACATACTTTCCAATTCTGGGGTACTGTGAGACATAGCAAAATTGGCAGCGATATGAAGTCTGCACATAGTCAGTCCTCCTTCTGGTTCCTTCATTTGAATGAATCCCCTGATTTGATGCAGTTCTCCTGTCCAGGGATGTCTTTCCTTTTGTATAATCAAATACTGGAAACCGAAGAAGAAATCATCTTGGTTGCTCAGAAACATGTCTATATCTTCTTCTTCTTTGGGCTCTTTAATGGTGAAAGTCCAATTAATGGCTATCCTGTAACTTCTGTCTGGAAATTTAGGATCCTTGATAGGCACATGCAGGGGTAAATATTCATTCCTAGGTTCCGGATCCAGGGTTTTCAACTCTATTCTTCTTTTTGTTTGAGGAGCTTCGTGATCCCCCTCCATAGGTTCCGTCATTCTCTTTTCTAATAAGGTAAATTTATCTTTGTCCATCTCCATGTTTTCTTCGTCTAATATTCTTGGAATTCGTTTGCCAAACTGTCGTTTACTCAACCACATGCCCCCAACTGAGGAGCATCGTCTTTAACACCTTGTTTTTATACCCCCTCACCTTGAAAGATAAGGGCCGTGTGCAAAACATACGATAGACCTACGTTTTTTTTATGCTGACTACACAGGTAAATACTTGGCACCGATTCAAGAATGTCATTATGACGTCACGCTTCACAGTCAAAGCTCAGCCTAGCCTAACCAGTTCAAACTGGATTTTTTTTTTACTGAAAACAATAACACAAGACAAAGAACACAGATTTTGATTTTTTTTCATTCTTTATTTGTAACAACAAACAACAAACAACAAACAACAAACAATGCATTTACAATACATTTTGATAAAAACATTGAACTTTTGTCCATGACCCGTAGGTAATTTATGATAAGTGTTTTTAAACCAATTCGCCACGTATCTGTCCCTTTGTAAAGCCGTACTCTGGTCAAAGGGGAATAGCCACTCGTCAGTTTTCTTTCTTTTCTTGTCTCTTTGATGTAAATAATACACGCAATATTGTCCACACACATCGGTATTCCAGTCTTGATAGCGATACGGATTATAAGTCCATTGTTGAGCATGACGCTGGATAAAATCTTGAATTTCTTTTTGTAAGGGAGGAAATCCATAAGAATTGAAATATTCCACCACGGGATTGCTCACATATAGACACACCCAATGTTCTCCAGGTCGATCTTGAGGATCCGTATTGACCACGACAGCTTTTTCTCCAGGTCTTAATTGATCCGGTAATAAATCTACAGGATACACGCCTCCAAAAGAACTCTTGAATTCTCTGGATAAGACTTCTCTCAATTGCCCCGTATCCATTTTTTTTAGTAATCAATGCTCACTTCTCTCTGTTTGTTAATTTCTAATAGGTTATCGAATTCTGCATACACCACACAATTGATGGTGGTAGCCGTATTGTTGGTAAACTGCACTTCTACTCTCAGATTTCCTGTTTCTATGATGTGGAATTTATCCGATTGCGCTTCTTGATCTTTAGTGAAATCCCAGCCCCATAGAGTGTAGCCGCTTTTATACTCTTCTAGGGTGATGTCCGGAGCCCAATCTTCTCCTAATTTTCCCAGGGCTTGATACAGACTGAGATATGATCTCAGATATAAATCGTCGTTGAAATTAGGCTCAAAACAACGAGTACTCATGTTCTCTCCGTTGATACTGACATCTAATTTCTTGATCCCAAAGTTTTGGAAATGAAAGGGATTTTTATTTTATCTCCGTTGAAGGCCGCATTCTCCACAAAGCCTAAAATGAGACGTTTAGGCATCTGGCCTTGAAACAGATGATCTGTAATCTTAGACTGGGTCCCTATGGGGATGGTAAAGGTTTTCACTTCCACTCTTCTCAAGGGATATTTGGCTCTGTGGGTATTCAAACTCTGATTAATGGTATTCATCATGACTGCTGTGGGTTTGACTTTTCTCACCCACAAGATCATACTCAATATTTTCACTTTTCCTGTACTTCCTCCTTTGATCATCATGTAGAAAGAGGGTCTAGCTCGATTAAATCGCAAATGGACGTCCACTCCATTAGGTAGAAATCGATCTTGTTGAAACAAATCTAAATGTAAAGTATCCAGCAAACTGATTTTCTTACTGTCAGCAATAGCTTGGTGTCTTTTTCGGAATCCTTCGTTTTTAGAATTGGCCGGTAACGCTGTGAGGATGGGTTCGTTAATGGTCACTGTATCTTTACTTGAACCTTTAGTTACATCAAAGGTTTTATTTTGAGCTACACCAAGGTCCTCTATTCCCACTTCGTCCATGTGTCCTGCTGTATCTTTTTCCCACAGACTACAGGCCCTCGTCTGTGTCTTTAAAGTTCTGGGTCGGTAAGACAATAATTTCTCCAGATAAGCTTTGTAAGGATAGGTATCCGTCCCTGGAGTCACTATTTTTCCAATCAGACTGACATCGATTTCCGTAAACATGGAATGTAAGATATTATTCACGGGACTGGAAGTGCTGTTCGCCCCAGTCAGATTACTTCCATCGTCTTTGGTAAATTTACATACCATTTGAAGATAAGTTTGAGATAAATCCAGATAGTGATCTCCTTGTCCTTTAATTTCAAATTCGATGGGAGCGGTGTCGGAATCTAAAGTACTGGAAATGGGGTAATATTCTTCCCATTTCGAGTCTTCTAAAGCAATATTAGTCGGAGGGACTTGAAACAATTGTAAATTGTTCATCCCACACCCACAGGAATCGGGCTGTAACATGATGTGTCTACTAGGATTCAGTTTTCACAAATGAACCTTCTGTTCCCTGGACTGTCCTATTTTTACTCTCTCTCTCAGTCAAACACATCTAAATGACGTTTTCTTTTAGGAATTCCTCCTTGTTTTTTCCTTTTTCTCTTAGGACCCCCTCGGGCTAACAGGACTCTTCCTCTCCCTGTCTGCTTTCTTCTTTTTCTTCTTCTTCTTCCTTGACCTGTTTGTCCTTTCTTCTTCTTCTTCTTTCTAAAGGGTAAAGAGACTTCTCGATTGAAAGCAAATAGACCTGTATTTTTGGCCGCATTGAGTCCGTGGGTTAAAAGAGCATTTCGGATGTTTTTTCTTTTTCCCACCACATCCCTGCCTATCTTCACTCCGGCCATGATGGCTTGTTTTTTCCCATGTTGGAGTAAATCTTTGACAAATCCTCGACCTTTTTGTGCCCCCATGGCTAACTGGGCCGCGTCGTTGAGAGTCAAACCTGAGTCTATGCCTGGTATGCGTAAGTTAGGGACCGCTCCCGAGAGGAAGTTTAAAAAATTTCCTCCTTTTTGAGGTTTCATGTGAGTTTTTAAAATCCTACCCAATTTGAGTAATTGTGTAGCAGGAAGTAGGGGTGAAAAATTTGTAGAATCCAAGGGAAGGGCTCCCACCAATCCAGAGATGATAGAACCTACTGCTCCGCCTTTTTGACGTAATAAACCTTTATGAGAAGTCCAACCGTGTCCTCTTTGTCTCAGTAATCCGGGATGATACTGCATGGTTCATGTCTCTTGTTCAACTGACCTTTATATCCTCTGGGGACTTCCTTTTATACCTTTACGGCTGAATACAATACAGAAAACAGACCAGGCAAGCCATCACGCCCAATAAGATGGAACACAATAAGGGTACATTCATCTCAGTAGACTTTTCTGAAATGAAGTTTCACCACTGATTTACCACTTACAAAGGGCATGGGAGTCCCTAAAGGAGTCATGATGTGAATCTCAATGGTATAAATGTTTTTTACTTAGTTTCAAATATTCCGCTCGAATGGGTTCCCATTTGGCTTGTTTTGAATCCTCCAAATGAAATGTACAAGGCACCACTCATAAGAGTTTCAAGGCATTGGATCCTACCGTCTGGGGTTGAATCAAGTCACAATAGACATACATGGATTTCAGATTTTCATATAAATCCACAGTATTGTTTCCCAAGTAACTAATGTTGATCCATTTGGTCATGTTTTCTGTATCGTTCTGAAGAATGACTTTCTTACTGTCCATGCCTAGCTTATAAGCTAGGGATGTGGGGAAACGAATGCATAAGGGACTAAGCATTTTTGCATTAATTTGATACATCACTCGATCATAGGTCTCGTAATATACTAATTTCATACATTTTTCTTCATCTCCATCACCAAGGGTTTTCCATATTTTTTTCAATGATCTCTCTAGTCCTAGACTTATTTCCTCTGTTAAGGCCTTGGGGTGAACATAGGGCCCGGGTCTGAAGTGAATTCTTCTAATTTCCATCTTGCTATCTAGTTCAATGAGTTGAGGCCGTTTAGTATGGGCCCAATCGAGCAGTACAGGACATTGACGTAATGGCATTGAGTCTAAGGTTTTCATTTTAAATCTGCCATAAACATTGGGGTTTTTGATATGGTGAGCAAAAGACTGAGGAACCAGGATGTCAAAATAAGCCTCCTTTTCTGTAATGTTTATCAATGAATTGGGATACATCATTTCTGTTAAAGCCACTTCCCATTCTCCGTCGGTTAAATCCACTGTTTGTGGTAATAAGGTTTTAAATTGAGCAGTCGTATTGCTAGAAAAAGAGGCCATAGACCCATCACTGGGTAAAGTCATGTAAAACCCACTGCTCTCGGCCATGTTCAATCTAAGACTGAGACTCTAGACCTTAAGACCTTTGTATTTATAACAACACTTTTTTTAAAAAATTCAAAACATTTATTCAATGATTTACACATCTATTTCTTCTTCTTCTTCTTCGTCTTCTGATGATCGGTCCTCAATCACTCGAGTCAACAAATGTCCTTTCTTTTCCACCGAGTCTTTAATCTGGGAAAAGGGGATGCGACAATACAAGTACTCTGTAGGACAATAATGAGGTGGAAACGTCAGTCCTTTTTTCTCCATCTTGAAATAATATTTCAGACAATCTCCAATGTCCGAGTACCATGAACTTTCATTCTGAATGGTGTTGATGGGTGTCAGACGATTCCTTTGAGTACAAGTAACCCATTTGAATTGCTGATAATGTTGGTTGATTTTCACCCTCACTCTAAATCCTGTTAGAGGATAGGGAATTTTCATTCTTTTTTCCAACCACACATTGTCCAGGTAATAGCCTGGATGATTTTCAAAGAAATCCATGATGGCTCTTATTTTACTTTTCATCCACCCTCCTTGCATGTACATACACTGACTAATGGGACTCTCACAATACCAACGATACTGCATCTTTGGGAAAAACAAAAAACACGTCTGACTTGTTCAGTGTCCTTTTTCAGAATGAGAGAGGGTTTGTGATATACCTCTTGATAAAACCTTTCATCTATTTTATTTTCTTTTTCTTTTTCTTTTTTTTTTTTTTTTAAATTTTTATTTTTTAAGTTATTTTTTAAAAAACAACAAAACAACAAAGAAATAAAAAAAAACACAAATTTTTATTCAAGTAAAAAATACAAAAAATGATTTTATTGTCCTTCATATCGGCATAAGGGGCATTTCTTGTAGGAAGTCTCAAAGAGTTTCTTCACACACTTTTCACAACACGGATATTGCCGGCATTGTCCGCATTTCCATTTTCCTCGAGTCTTTTCCTGGTAGCACATCATACATTCTTTCAAAGGTCTGTTCCTGGTCATTTTCACCCATCGGGGAGGCGGTATGTTCTCAATTCCTTTCTTCCAGATGAAATATTTCAGGCACCAGCTACAACCACAAGTCTCCATGGAAGGGGGGTCTTGTACCATCCAGTGTGGCATAGGTTCTCTACATTTACTACATCCCCAGTACCAAGCAACAACTTCTCCCGCATCGTTGTAGCCGACGTATTTATTAACCTCTGTCGTCTTCTCATTGCAGTGATAACATATTGCCTTTTCTACATCAATCCAATAGATCAATCTCCACACAAAAGACATGATGGCTAAATAATGAGTGCGGGGTACTCCCAGCTCCGCTTTATATACCTGCTGTGAGCCGTGTGCACCTTTGACCTACCTTTTTATACCTGTAAGGACCGTGTGCAAAAAATTAGGGGGCGTGTGCATCAATACGATAGACCTACGTTTTTTATGCTGACTACACAGGTAAATACTTGGCAGCGATTCAAATCCGTGATTGTGACGTCATCATGACAAAGCTAGTGTATATAGAGCGCTCTGTTGTGTGTATATAGAGCGTTTAGTTGTGTGTATATAGGGAAAAATAACTAACAACACTAGAATTTGTGTGTTTTTCTTTTATTTTTATTCATAATCTAAAAATAGATACACCCCTCTATATAAAAAGGAGACACCATAACCCTAAGAAGATCATTTCTGATCTGAGTGAGGGACAGAGCACACATCATGGATTTTTTAAGCTCAGAGTATCGTTGGAAAATAGTAGAACCTGGTGGATGTGGTTAGATCACCGGGATTAACTGGGTGAATTGGTCTTCTTGGTGGTAGGGGTATGATGCATCATGGTAGGACTAGGCATGATGTAACCCACCGAAGAACTCACACAGACCATCCAATATTCTAGATTAGAATCGTGTAAAGCTAACATGACCACACTCGTGATGATGAGGGAAATACAAATGAATAATTGTGCAAAATACACAATTTCTTCTCGAGGAATATTCTCTCCACAAAATTTCCAATGAGGTGTTATTTGATGAGATCCGTTTGGGGAATCCATGAATCGAAACTAGGGGGATATCCTTTCCACCGGACTTTAACTTCTTGAATGATTTTCTTCCCGACTCGTCGGTTTTTATACCCCAAGATTTCCTCCACTTCGTACACGTCGTCTTTTTTAATGATCTGTTGTAATTCTTTCTCGTAAAAAGTCCTTTCTAATTCCTCCTGGTTGTAATCTTGTACTCTATACACGTAAGGATACCGACCGGGGACTTGTTGAGCAATAGTAAATATTTCCGTGGTCCAGTTCGGTAACTATCCTTTTTCAAAAGTGCGTTTAGCTTTACTGATGCGCACTTTATCTCCTGTTTTAAACTTGGGGGGTTTTGGTTTAGGTGATGATTCCCCATATAAAGTTTTCCAGACTTTTAACACATTCGAGGGCTTCACTTGAGCTGGGGCTCTTTGGATACTGCGATGATAGGTATGATTGTAAGCATACACTAAATCCGGTAAGATCTCTAAATACCGTCTGATCTTATTCCGAGTGAAATACCGCCACATGCGTGCTTTGAGGGTTCTCTGAAATCGTTCCACGATACTGGCTTTGGTGTCCGTATTGCGAGTGGTAAAGAAATGAATGGATTTAAACGCCTGTAAGAATTCTCGATTGGTAAATTCTTTGCCTTGATCCGATTGAATGCGGACGGGACGTCGACCGTCTTGTCGGAAAATCTCTTGTAATCCTCGAATCATTTCTTTCCCCGTTTTCTGTTTTAAAGGCACCACCCAAGCATATTTAGATAAGACGTCAATGGCACACAATAAAAAGGTATAGCCGTCATTATGTTTCTTTAAACTGGACACATCCGCTAAATCTAATTGCCATTGTTCGTCTATATCCGTCACTCTCGTCTGTTGTCTCCGGAATTTTCGGTGAATGGGTTTATGTAAAGTATAGGTATCTTGCTCTTTTAACCATTCTCGTATGGTGTTCAAAGAAATCTTATGTCCCAGACTTTTGACCTGACGATACAAAGTCTGTATGCCTCCATAACCTCTCTTGGGATCGTAATATATCTCTTTTAAAATGTCCCCCACTTCCTTCTTCTTCTTCATGTCTTAGGCAAATGAAGCCAATTTT